AAAAGATACCTCACTGCTCAATGGCCGTAAGTGCCGAGTATAGGACAAAATTTGCAGCTCTCCAACGGCAAGTGGTGGCGTCTCCATATGAGTGAAAAATTCTCGAGAGGGACGTTAAAGAAAATACAATCAATTTTTATATCTTGCAACAATATAAAGGATCGTGGAAATGCTTGGACGAAGAGTTTCTTGATCTATCATTTAATGCATCAGACTTGAATTGTTTTACACAATATTTCTATTGTAAAGAATGAAATAATTTTTTTTCCAATAAAAAAATTCTGAATTAAGATTCATTTTTCCTAAGAGGGCGGCTATCTACAATTGAAATCTTTAACAAATATTATATATTGTCCGTATTCCCTAACTTCACAAGCAATAATTTATAATAAGATCGAAATCTCAGTTGTTTGAATTTTCCCCCTTGTAAGTATAATAACGAGAGAAAGTTATTGGCATTTAAATATATGTATACTAGTTTCAACATCTGCTTAATGTATAACAATTCTGTATATCTTTGCTTTCCCGTTATTACAATAAATACTTAAGTTTTCTCAGGAAAAATGTCTTTTACAGAAACATTTATTGGTCAGGGTATAAGCAAGCAATGATAATACTATAACCGTCTTATTTTAGGGGGATAAACATTTCACGTTTATTTCATATTCAATTTTGAGATATATTGGAATTTTTTGTAAAATTAGTAATTTGAAAACCCATGCAAGTTTTTGAGAAAAAAAAAAATCTCTAAAAATGAATGGATCATAGTCTGAAGACTTCCGTTTTTCCCCATACTTATTCAATGCAACAAAAATGCCAAAATAGTGATCATGGAAGTTTCTGTAAATATGATACTTCTGCATGAATGATACTTGATTCGTTTTAAACAGGTGCTATTTAGAATACTGTGGTTGAACTTTGCATTGTTCAATTCAAATACACAATTCATTTCTAATAACATGTATAACTACATATTAAATAGACGCACGTCTTTGGCGATAAGATATTTTAAATGAAAACCTGTTTCGTCACACTTTGTTAAAGTAAATCAACCCTTTCATAAGAGAGATAACTCCCAAATAAATAAGCCTAAAATGTCTAATCTTATCATAATTCAGTAATGAACCCTTTAAATATAAGTTTAAATAACACTATTTTAAAACTATAGCAAGCTATCATACACCATATATAGAATTTTAAGAAGTATAAATAAAAACAACGCAATATTCTGACTTATAAATACGATTTAGAATGTTTTCTAATAAGAATGTAATATTCATGACACTAAATATGGTTTTCAAAAATAGCTCTTTTTTTATTTTTATTTTACATATTGTTAAAATAAAATATTGCTCTTTCTATTCTCTGAATCAAATATTCCTATGTCATGTTCAGACATAAAATTCGTCTCGGTAAAAGTAAGTACCGATTGGTACTTTGTGTAAATGTTGGCAAGTTTAAAATAGAATTACGAAATTTATAGCATTTTACTCGCTGATAATTCTTGCTTCAAACATGTATAACACTAGTTATGGATAAATGCGTAAGTTTGTATCAGATTATTTAAACTGATTTTCTGGTTGTTATTTTTAAAACTTAAATTAAACAATTTTTCTTTTAAATAAAACTATTGCATACTATTGTTACATAAATTTCAATAAAAAAGAATAATGTTATTTATTATTCTCGAAAAATATTGCTTATTTTAGAATATATGAGTTAATAGTTATTGTGATGGGTGTCTTATTTACCTATTTAGGAAATAAATCGACACACTATTGCATTTGCATGCTCCAATGAATTCTTTTAAATGATTTTCGTGAAAAGGAAATTAAATTGACTGGACATCACATCCAGTGATTATGTTTGCAAAAATAATCTATTGTAAGGGCGAATGTTGACATTTCTTTTAAACAAACCATTATTTCATACTTAAATTCTATGGATTTTCCCTTGTTAACCTGATCATGACAAGGAGTACACAGTGGATTGCTTATTACTCCATAGAATAGATAACAACTAACAATAATCACTTCCGCTTATACGTCGACTCGATATATCTGAGTGAACTCGAAATGAAAGACATCATAGAGTCTGCCACATGTGTTTCATATTCAGATATTTTACTGAATTTAGACGATAAGGGCCAACTAACAACCAGTGGCAAACAAGAAACTCGGCACTCAGGCCATTTAGCAGTAAGGGATCTTTTTCTTGCAAGCACTTCTGCATCACGGGACATCGGCCTATACGGTCCGAATGACCGGTTTTCCCATTATCAACTTTCATTTAATGTGGTAAAATTCCATTATCATTTCTACTTATGATTCTTATTCGATAAAAAAAAACATGCTCTGAGTTATTAAATTGAAGCAGGCTGCTGCAAATTTGTTGATATTACAGGGATTTCAGCGACGCAGTACAGCTAAGGTGCGCACTGGAAATATCGTCATTTTTTTTTTATTAAAAATCTATTCTTAATCAGGATGGCGATTCTTTTAAGTACTTTATTTATAGCGGACAAATGAAATTATGGTTATTAACTAAACATATTGAGGACGATTAGATTTTATATTTAGACCTGTCACGTGATGTGCCACTCACGTGATTTTAGCGCATATACTTGCAATATTGAGGTCATCTATAGAAATCACTAGTGCAAGGACATAACCAAGTTAAAATTCTAAGTTTAGTTTCTAAATATTCTGAACACGCATTGTAGTTTCTTAAAGGTGCTGTGATCCTATATATATTCTGCTATTTCAATGTTAAAATCATATTTGTATGACCACATGCTGAATATTTTGCTGGTCAACGGCATTGAATATAGATAAAATTAATTCATTTTCAAGATTGCACCAGGATCGCAGCACTTTTCAAATACCTTAATACTTCTAAAATTTACTTGTAAAAGCTTACTGTGTCAGTGTGATCCATTGAGTGTATGGCCTTGCACCAGATCGATTTATTAAGACCCTAACATTACCTTCCGATATACTTGCGTACAAATATACGGCAGTTTCAATTAAATAGGAAATGTACAGAAAATATATGAATACAATCATAAAGAAGACATTGCATATCTGCAAATATCTGCAAATAATATTTTATTTAACAATTAAATACATTTTTCATTGTGAAAAAGAAAAATTACTTGATCCGCCTCCAACTGCATACAAACTGCGTCAAGTTTTATGAAATGACGTCACATCGACAAGTGTATAGCGATCAATGACTTGTTTATACTCTGCTGTGTGGGAATTAACTAACGACATAACAGCAGTTATAGTAAGTGTTGATGTAGTTTAATGCTCTGGTACAGTTTACAATCACAGATCATTTCATTCTGTGGTATTTTAAAGAATCGGTAGTTTTGTGTGATGTCATAGTTAATATTTCCTGTACAAATTAGGCCCTGACTCCTTTTTGTAGCGTAAACTGTGCTGCGAACCTCGTTAAAAACAGCATTTTGTAAAATCTGTGGTCGTTATAATGACCCAGTTAGCAATTACAACGTATCATTGGGTCGTAATTTGACTCTGTTAATTTGAAAGGGGTATTTTAGGATACGGATAAAAAAAAATCATTATTGAAGAACTTAAATCCTGCGATACGGTTTTTGGTCATTTAAGATTAAGAAAAAATACAAATCGAATTTCCAAATGTTTCTACGTTACAGTCTTTCACATACAGCTAATGATAAAAATAAAATCTAAGTAATCAAAACCGTGTTCATTGCATATATTTCAGTAAGCACCTGCGTAATAAAAATGACAAGTTTCCCTGCATTTGATACTACTTGGATTCCTAATTTAAAGTGTTATATCGGCCCGTGTAAAAGACGAAAAACATGTGAACTGAAACTAACATTTTGATATGTCATTGGATGTAGCTTAAGTACAATTTTTATAAAGTCACAATTTGAATTTCATACTTCATATAGTGTTCTGTTGACTTCCATCGAAATGGATGCAGTTAGAAAGGTTCATTTCTACTACAATTGTTACGTGATGTTAATGGACGATAATTGAAACACAAAAACATTATTAAGATTACACACATCGGATTAACAAACAATTACGAAGCAGTTAAAGCACATATGTAAAAGCAATGTGAATTCTGAATGATTTGATCAAAAGTCAAAACAAAATACACAATTTTCATATAAAAGAAACTATTGTCTTTGTATTTTTCAAAAAACAAATAGAAAATAAAAACGTTTGCATGATTCCCTACGTGTTGATTTTGCTTGATGATTTTAAACTGAATTAGAAACAAACAAGTTCCTTTGTCTTATTTTCTGACGAATTACACGTAAACTAATTAATTACCAGTACTCCATCTTAATTTATAGATACATATAATGAGCCTCCTTTTGAAATTTCTAAATTCTGTTCCATTGTTGTCATTAATTAAAACTAAAAATAAAGTACAGGTTATAACGTTATCTAATCATTTTGCAAACCGAAAGTAGAGGCGGGGGATTTTCCAAACACACAGATTTTTCTTCCTCTGATATTCAAGGTATGTCTATTATAATGTACATTTATATCTACACGTATACGTATTCTATCCTATGTAAGGAAAAATATTTTATCCAAAGCTTTCTTTTATATAAAATAGGACAGTTTTTTAACAGATTCACAAATGCATGCTAGTCTTCTTTTCATTTATTTTGAACAACAGAAGGGCCTATGGAACTTGTGTTTATAAATTCCAGGAAGATAATTTTTTTTTTTAATCTTGAATTAGGAAATCTAGACATTCTTCTCAAATTGAAAATGGTGAACTGTGATATATGATCGAACGATGTTTTGATAAGCATCGCGCAAATCTTAAATTAATATGTACTATCTCAAAAATAACTTTTTTAAATACGTATTGTGAATGAGGAAAATCACCTTTACCGAGATAAATAAAGTTATTTATTCTACTTAACGTATCTTTCTTATAATTTCAGAACATATATTGTAATGGATCATATCCCTCGACTATCAGAGGCTATGTATGTGGGACTGTGTCGTAAAATAGGGAGTCCAACAATAGTGAGGATGAGAAGAGAAGTAATGGACACTTCGGAGGTGATGAGTCAGCCTAAGTACCTCATGAGGGGAATGGATAGAATGAGGAGCGGGAGTAGACGTGAGGGATTCAGATTGAGGAATTCTGATGTTGATTGCATGTTCTGGCCTCCAGACCACAAGGTAATATGTGATCTCTCTCAAGTAAATCTTTATAGTATTTCACGGCACACAGTGATTCTGATGGAGTGTGACGATTTACCACCGGGATTCACCAGACTAAATCTGATGAGTCCATCAAATGATGAAAATGTCAGATCCTCCCGTGTAGTGATCGATAACAATGTTTATATATCTAGTACACTATTTCGAGAAAACTACTTGCGGTTCCTCCAGAACTCGGATGTTACTTCCTGTTCTATTCCTCATGGACCTTGTTCTACATTCTGTACTGATGAGATAGAAACAGATTTTGCTTTCTGTTTCCGATCCCATCACTGGCCGGAAATAGCTTTACCATGGATTCATAGATGTCGCCAACAAGGTTGGCCGTCCGAGGTAGTTATATCAGATATATTAAGCACAGGATTCCATGTTGTTCCTATTGGCAGCACACCCGAAAGCAGACTTGAATGGAGAATTTCGTTCTCACTGGCAGAACAAAAACTTGTTTATGCAATGAATCACTGTCAGTTTTTGTGTTATGGTCTCTTTAAAATTTTTCTTAAAGAAGTAATTAATTTTAATAACGATTTGCCCGTTCTATGTTCATATTTCACAAAAACCGCTGTACTTTGGTTAATTCAGACTAATAATGTCTTAAATTGGACACCTGAAAACCTTTTGCCTTGGTTCTGGAAATGCTTTAAATTATTAATATATTGGGTATATATTGGAAAATGCCCAAACTTTTTTATTCCACAGAACAATATGTTCCAATATAAAGTATCTGGTTCTGTACGAGCATTAGTGTTCAATCAGTTGTATGTATTGTATTGCAAGGGTATACCGAGTCTACTTCTGAGTAAAACTTTCAGCCTTTTCTTCAGTAATGTCATTTTAAACAGAGCGTTGAAAATGCGTACAAACGAAAGCAGTATTATAACCAGCACTAAACTAGATATTAGTTTATTCGATGAATTAAGGGAATGTCAAATAACAATTTCGAATGTTGGAGAATTTGCAGCTCTAATTAAGAAAATTGAGATAGAGATTAGTGAAAGGTTAACGTCATACAAGAACATTACAATACAGTGTATAACATCAGAGATATTACGAAACACCGCCATGTTTATACAGTGTTGTGTATATCCGAATACAAATCGCAATAAGGTTTATTACAGAGCTAAGAAAGTAACCCTATTGCTAAAACTGTCATGTACATTAGGTTGTGCGTCAGACATTCTCTATCTTGTTATGCATCTTTATAGAACATGTAGATATGAGCATTCACTCAGCTATTTACAGAAAGCACATGACAGAATGACACGACCATACAGAGTGTACTCTTATCATGTGAATGTAGATATGTACAGGCATCACACGGAGGGGATGTCTCTGGGTCATAAAACCAGGATTGCTCTAGTAAAAGATATTACCTTATACAGTCAGTACACATACATTGATGAGTTAGTGCTGGAGCAAAAGATCAGCAATGTGAACGGCATGAGTTTATTGCACATCCCACCTCTAGTGATGTTACACATGCTGTTTATACTGAATCACTTCAGACTTGGTGACACAGTCATGACACTACAATCTATACGTGATCTACAGACATTGCTACTGTTTGATGACGGGAGTTATGTACCTTTTTTCCTCAGGGATATTTCCTGGCAAATACTAGGAATCTGTCAACAAATCTGTCGGGACTTCCCGGGAGCCCGAGAATCTTACCAACATTTGCTCCAACAAGATCCACTTCACAAGATTCAGGAAGCGACGGTGTTAAGAATGAATACACTTTCCCAATGAGTGATGTAAAAAGATTTATGCTACACATGTATTAAATCAGCTAGTGTAAATTTTGACAGCTCATATTGAATATTAGTGAAGGACTAAGTATAGTTTTCCATTTAATATTTATCATTTCCTCCTTTTCAATCAAGTTTGTAGTTCCAATGTGGAGGATAAAGAAAAGCGTCGTGTTATTGTCTCTCTCATTGTCCCTCTTTTCCTTTGTAAATTGTTGTTGTACAATTTGAATGGAATATTGATTGATAATTGTGGACATACATGTATTAGACAAACTTTAATTTTCCTTATCATGTTTATAGCAAGCAACATAAAGCATAATGAGTTATAATGATCTAATTTTCTTTTCCGCCTCAATGTGTAAAATGCAAATTATTTCTGAAGTAGATTATTTAATAATTAGCCTTAAAATATAACAATAATCTGATTTTGATTCCATTTACAGTGTGCGAAAATAAATGGTGAACAACATTAATTTTGTCTGTCTTTTCTCACGTTGATATTCATGGATCATATCTAGGGGACAGATGAATTAGGTAGAAAGGTAAAAAATAAAATGTATATTTTTTAAGGTATTCAATTTATAACGTCCATATTGTCTACGTAATAAATATACAGACCTCCTAATTCTGGGACTGACTTTTTGGATAAATGTATAAGTACTGTAGAAAGAGCTATAGATACAGAGATGCATTTATTTTTGTTAGGTGATTTTAATGTACACATGTTAACCCCTGGAGACAATATATTCAAACAACCACTACTACAACTTAATTTAAGCAATGTTGTCCAAGAGCCTACCAACTTTACAACAGATAATGGAACCTGTAGACTTAGTGTTAATTAATGATCTTAACATGGTTGAGAGTGTTACAGTACTAGTTGATGAAGCAATTTGTAGTTCTCACTCACATGTCTCTATAGAAATTTCATTTCAAACATATAAACAACAAGCCTTTAAGTGCACAGTTAGGAATTATAATAAGGCAAATTATCAAGGCCTGAATGAAGACCTACAAAATGTCAATTGGGATGAAAAAGTGTTTACCTCTAATAATATGAATGAAATCTATCAAAATTGTACATACACTTACCTACACCTGGCAGAAAAACACATACCAACTAGGCAAATTACGATACGTCCTTCAGATAAATCATATATTACCACAGAAATTCGTAAGAAAATGCGGCAAAGAAAAAGAATACATAAAAAGGCAAAGCATACCAAAAATCCATTACATTGGCAAATTCGTAATGAAGTAATAGATCTGGTCCGAAAGAATAGGAAGGAATACAAAATCAAACTTGTTGCACAGCTTATTGATAAGTCTATTCCACCAGCAAAGTGGTGGCGCATAGCAACAAAATCTGTTGCAAGAAACAAAATTCTCCTCCACCCTCTATTAAATCACTGGATGGTAGAATTGATTCATCCAGTCGATAAAGCTGAAGAACTTAATAATTTTTTCTCAAATATATCACATATTGAAAATGAGCCAGACTAGCATGAACATGGAGCTGGACCTCCAGAATATTTCTTTGATTTTGAAATAAGTGATCAAGATGTTCTTGATCAGTTAAGTATACTTGATCCCTCTAAAACATGTGGACCAGATGGGATTTCTCCCAGAATGTTAAAAGAAACCCTTATTGTATCTAAAACACCATTATGTAAAATATTTAACTATCACTTACAAATAAAGTTCTTCCATACATATGGAAACAAGCACATGTTACACCTATTTTTAAGAACAAAGGCTGTCCCCAACAGTCTAATAATTACAGACCAATATCATTGACTAGTTCTATATGTAAAATAATGGAAAAAATACTTTTCAAATATATGTTTAATCACATTAAGGAACATCACTTATTGTCTAAGTTTCAATCTGGCTTCCAACCTGGAGATTCTACTGTTAACCAACTGGTTGAAATCTATAATAATATTATGTCAAACTTAGACAAAGGCAGAGATATACGCTTTATATTTTGTGATATTTCCAAAGCTTTTGATAAGGTATGGCATAAGGGAATGATTTTTAAACTTAAAAAACCTTGGTGTTAGAAGTAATACTCTAGGTTGGATTGAAGATTATCTTACTGATAGACAACAAAGAGTGAGTTTGGAAGGTTTTTCATCATCATATAAAACTATAGATGCTTTGGTGCCTAAAGGGTCTGTACTTGGTCCCTTCTTGTTTTTGTTATATGAAATATATGGAGATAACGAACAGTATTCAAGCTCAAAAGTCTATAATACAATGCAAAATAGGAGCAGAGCAAACACGGACCTCCAAACATCAGACGTGGGATCAGGTGCCATGGAGGAGTGAGCATCCCCTGCCGACCGTTCACACCCGCCGTGTGCTCCTTGTCATGATCGGGAAATAACGGAAAAATCCGTTGACAATTCAGTGTGTAAATAATGGCCTAACAATTAGTATGAAAAACGTCAGTCAGCATTTGACTTAATGATAAATTGTATTTGCTGACAAGGTCATTGTATCGACCATAGAACTTACGAAATGATGACTTTAAACGAGACAGCTGATATTCTTGTTTCATCAACTTATTTGTCAATAATTTACCTCGTTTTAGAAATTGTACATACGTAGAGCATGCTCTTGCGTATCGAATCAACTGAGAGATATATACCCCGTATGCAGGTGATGAAGGTATATTGCTGCATAAGTAAGGGAAGTTGACGATTGAAAAGTTAAAGTCATCACGTTTATCATAAAGCTTGGTTGTTAGATTACCATTAACGTCTTTTTCAAGTAAAATATCCAAATATGAAACAGATGTGTCAGACTCTGTGGTATCTTTTATCTCAAGCTCACCAGGATATATCGTATCGACATCATATAAATGATATAGCTAAAGATATATCCTGTAATATTCGATTGTTTGCTGATGATACTTCTTTGTTTGCTATTATAGACAATGATCCAACAATGTCACTTACTCAAGATCTTGAAAAAATAAGAAATTGATCCAAAGCCTGGACTGTAGACTTCAATAGTGAAAAAACTATTAATGTTGATTTTACAAGGAAACACATAAGTTATCCTGATATTCAATTTGGACATGGAGGTGATTATATAAAACAATCAAAAACACGTCTACATTTAGGAATACATTTTCAGACAGATGGCTCTTGGAATAATCATATATCAAATATATATGAAAAGGCATGTAAAAAATTGAATATACTTGGGTTTTTGAAACATACTATAGATAGAAATTCACTTATAAAATTTATTTTGCTTTCATAAGACCCATTTTAGAACATGCAGACATTGTGTGGGATAATTGTACCCAAAGTAAAGCAGAATTGCTTGAAAAAAGTTCAGATAGAAGCTGCTAGAATTATTACTGGGCTTAGAGTTAATTCTTCCAAATCTTGTCTGTATCGTGAATTTGGATGGGAACCATTATATCTTAGAAGAGAAAAACATAAACTTCAATTGATGAATAAAATGATTAATGGATCTGCACCTGATTATTTGTATTTTCCGGTTCAACATACATATCTTACTGTAATAGTTTATTCCCTCAACTATAAAACTTTGGAACAGTCGTAGTGAGGATATCAAAAACTCTTCATCATTATCTATCTTTAAAGCAAAGCCTAAAAGTTGGGGAGCAACTAACAAACCATATAGGTACTCTAACTTTGGTGATAGAAAAGAGAATATCTTACATTGTCAGTTGCGAAACAATGCCAGCAATCGAAATGCCCATTTAAAAAATCATTTTTTATCAGATGTTCAATCATGTGAAAAGTGTGGCTTTTGTACTGAGGATACTGAACATTATCTTATCAAATGTCCTACATATACTGTTGAAAGAAATTTACTGGGAAAAAAATGATATTGATGTTGTTTTTGATCTTGACACTTTTTTTAAGAGGAAAATGTCAATATTCCTATCATAAGATCTCCGAAATTTTTTCATATGTACATGAATTTATTAAATCTACTAAGAGACTATAAACTAAGTATATTGTTATATCAAATACTATATTAAATGTACAGTTTTACTGGTAACAATACTTATATGAAAGCTGGAACAGTAAGTAAATAATTTATACATAATCAGGGGTCATCATCTGTTTTTTTTTAATACAATATTGAGGAATGATACTTGATTGCGAATCTTTATTTTTGACTATTAGTATTATTATCATGTACAAGTATTATTATTTATTGTCTTTGACTTGACCTATTATACAAGGAGAGGGTATGTATAGGCTTTGTCTTGACCTATTATACAAGGAGAGGGTATGTATAGGCTTTGTCTTGACCTATTATACAAGGAGAGGGTATGTAAAGGCTTTGTCTTGACCTATTATACAAGGAGAGGGTATGTATAGGCTTTGTCTTGACCTATTATACAAGGAGAGGGTATGTATAGGCTTTATCTTGACCTATTATACAAGGAGAGGGTATGTATAGGCTTTGTCTTGACCTATTATACAAGGAGAGGGTATGTATAGGCTTTGACTTGACCTATTATACAAGGAGAGGGTATGTATAGGCTTTGTCTTGACCTATTATACAAGGAGAGGGTATGTATAGGCTTTGTCTGTTTCCCGATCCTTATTGATTTATTCAATGAAATATGTTTAAATATAAATATACGTAATAAATGAATGTCCGACATTCACTGAGTTCTAATCATGTTAAAATTTCGAAGGTACGTGTAATCAAATTTATCAGGTACACAAGAATACAGTTAATTGATTTATATAAGAAATAGTTTATAATGATTGTGTTAAACAGGGCTTTTCAGCATAATAGGTATTAACTGCTGTAATTTGTAAATTATTGGGATACAACAAACAAATTTTATTTTTGGAAATTACAAAAACTTCTTTTTTACTCAACGTTTGGAGGTGCAATGTTGAAAAATCACTGTTAAATGAAGAGAATATTGCATATTCTTGCAGGAAGCTGACGAAATTATGCTTAACTGACTGATTTCGAATAAGCTATCTTCTTTTGGCCTTATTTTAATTACGAAAAAAAAAAATGAATGCCATAATCTGAAAGCTGAATTTTCACTTCGATGTTAAATACGGACAATGTATCTTCATATGTGCAACTGTAACAGAAATATTTGTTGATGAATTTGGAACTTTTAATTAAGGTTTAAAAAAAAAGCAAAATGCATCCTGGCGTCATTTGATGTTTAACATATACAATGTTATCATGTATAAACAAAATTATATAAAAAATGATAATTTTTATATACTGAACAAGATAATTTAAAACAAAGAATTATTTGTAAGTCAGAGTCATTGCATGACATGTCTTAAACCATAAACATATAATATTTAAGGAGTTTTCTGTAGCCTTTAGAAAAAAATAAATAGTCTTTGACTAAACGCTCTGATTGTGAGTACTTTTTGCGATACACATCCCTGTACTCTACATATCGAAT